CTGCTCCGCGTCACCACGCGGGAGGCCGCCGGGTCTCACCTCAGTTGTCACAGCTCGGGGGGAAACTGGATCCTGTTTGTGCACAAGGTGGTTCTGGAGAGCAGCCGAGGGGTGAGTTCACCCCTGAGCTCTGCCTGTCCCCGTGGGCTCGCTGAAAGCAGAGGGTGCCGGGGACCACTGAGTGTCAAGTTGAGGGTGCTGAGGTGCTGGCACAGGGTGCCCAGAGGAGCTGTGGCTGCCCCATCCCTGGCAGTGTTCAAGGCCGGGTTGGACACAGGGGCTTGGAGCAACCTGCTCTAGTGGAAGGTGTCCCTGCCCGGGGCAGGGGTTGGAGCTGGAGGAGCTTTAAGGTCCCTTCAACCCAAACCATCCATGATTCTGTGAATGCTGCTGTTTCTGCGTTGTGCTTCCAGAGCTGTCCTGCTGACACCCCAGCTTCCAGCCCTGCTGTCCTGCAGGGTGGTGGGATGCTCCTGCCTGGCCAGGAGGAGAGGCTTAAGGTGCAAGGTTGGGAACGCTGCAGTTACCACACAGCAGCCAACTGCTGCTTGCTCCTGGCTGGGATGAGACACCAGGAGGAGGAGCACTGGATGTGCAGTGTGGCCCTGCTGAAGTGGCTGCACGATCAGCAGCTCTTCCCTTTTAAATACCTGCAGTCATGAGCTCCCCTGTTCCAGCACCCTCTGCCAGGAGAGCAGAGGGGACCCCAGGCCCCTGTGCTGGGCTGCAGGGGGATGATTCGCTGTGTGTTGAGGGCAGGACTACTGATGATTCCCAGGTTAAGGAGGGGGTGCTGCTGCTCCCCTCTGCTGGCGCAGCCCCTGGGGGTGGTGCTGTGCCTCCCCCCTGCCCAGCTCTGCAGGGGACACACGGAGGAAGCTCTGTCCTCCTTTCTGCCACGCAGGAGTTATTTTTTGACCCAAGCAGCACAACAGCTCACAGGCCCAGTGTGCTTGTTCTGCGAGCACGTGGCTATTTCCAACCCATCTCCCATCAGCAGTGCAGGAATTTGGGTTATTCCAGCTATTCTTCTCCTCTCCCTGGAGCACTGGCACAGCAGCTGCCAGTAGGAAACGTGAAGTGCTCTAGGTAGGGAGGACACTGCGGTTACTAACCCCCCTCTGGATGTGTCTTGCAGATATTCTCTCAAGAGTACATCAACCTTCTGCTTTCCATGTATTTCTTCGTGCTGGGGATCCTCGCCCTGTCCCACACCATCAGGTACAGCAGAGGGGAGGCTGTGACTGGCACAGGGGTGTCTGAGGCTGCCCCATTGCCTTGTGGCTCTTGGGGTGTTGTCCCTTGGTGGTGTGAATCCTTCCTTGTGGGGGAACCAAAGTACCCTGTAGAGCATCACTGGGAGAGCTCGTGGCCGCATCGTGGGACAAGGCCAGCTCACCCAGAGGAGCTGCTGTGGCGGGCACAGTCCTCGCTGCCCTGTGCAGGGAGGGCTCCCTGGTGCCAGTGTTCCTCTCACTGGGATGGCTCAGACAGGCAGCTGGAGCTCACAGTAACATCCCCAACCTCTCGCCCCGATGCTCAGCTCGAGGTGTTGAAAACTCAGGCTGTTGCAGTAACTGAAACAGTCAAACTGGTTTCCTGTTTCCTGAGCTCCAGGGCCTTGGGGACCTGCTGCTTTCCCTAGACTGGTGCTGGGCAAGGGCTTTGCCTCTGCTCCTGGTTCCACACAAAAGCCATGCAGTGGTGGCCCAGCCAGATCTGGGTGCCCGGGGAGGGGCACAGGGCACATGCTGGGGCTTGTGGTGGGTCTTCCCTTCTGTATCTCTTGCCCTTTTGGGAGACTGTCACATACTGACAGGTCAGACCCCTGGGGAGGACGAGGTCCCACGTCTGTGGTTTGGTGCCTGAAGCTGGGGCTCCTGCTGGTCCCTGATGTGGCAAACCTTGGTGTTCCCCTGCCTTGGGAAGGGGTGTGGGCTGACATCCGTGCTGGGCAGCACCTCCTGCAGGGTTTCTGTCCAACTGCCCTTCTCTACCCCTCTCATTTCAGCCCCATGATGAACAGATTCTTCCCTGCAAATTTCCCCAACAAACAGTACCAGCTCCTCTTCACCGAGGGCTCCGGGGAGAGCAAGGAGGGTACGTTGGCTCGCCCGTCTCGCTGGGGGCCTGCATGTTTTCTGCCTTTACTCTTCTGGTTTTTGCTCACTTGGTGTTTTGACTTTCAGCCCGCTAAGACAACCTTCTCAAAGGCTTCCCTCTTGCTCCCCACTGTGCTTCTGCAGCCAGAGTGAGCCCGTGTGTCCCTGCAGAGCTGGGGCTGCCCCGTGCATCTTCTTGCACCAGTGCTCTCCCTCTGTGCTGCCTCTGGCTGGCAGCAGAACCCTGTAAGCAGGTCCCAGAGTGCTGTAGGAATGGAGCTGTGGCTGCTGTTAAATGCACTGCCTTTATTTAAGCTCCTTGGGTAGCACAGTTCTGGCTGCCTTAACTGATCTGATGATCAAATCTGATCTGATGACTCAAGTCTTTGCACCCTGAGAAGCATCCTAGCCCATAGCTTTACTGGTAAGGGAACTTTTCTGGTGCTGCCACCAGGAGTTAACTGGTGCAGGAAGAGGGAGAAGATTTGCCTTAGGCAGAGCCTGAGACCAATTTCCCTGTTGACAGAAGGATCACAGATGCTGTCCATGTGGCAGAGTCTGGCTGAAGGAGAAGGTCTGGGCTTGCCATTGCCATGGTCTGTGTCACTCCAGCTCTGAGGGGAGCTGCCCAACACCCACCTTCTCTGTTCTGTTGCAGAAATAGTGAATTACGAGTTTGACACCAAGGATCTCGTGTGCCTGGCCCTGAGCAGTGTCGTGGGGGTCTGGTACCTGCTGAGAAAGGTAAGTGAGCCACAGCCAGGCAGGGACCAGGCTGGATCACAGCCGGGCCCCTTTCCACACGAGTCAGCACGTGCAGTGGGACCCAGATCTCCTCTTCCTGTCGTTCTCAGCACTGGATTGCCAACAACCTCTTTGGGCTGGCGTTCTCCCTCAACGGGGTGGAGCTGCTGCACTTGAACAATGTCAGCACAGGCTGCATCTTGCTCGGGGGCCTCTTCATCTACGACGTCTTCTGGGTAATGGGGAGCGCTGCCCAGGGGGGCGGTGGGAGGCGTGGGGCTGGTGTTGTGCCTCCCTGGAGGCTGCGCCCTGCCTGGACACACGTTTGCAGTCGGGATTTCCACTTCCTGAGCCCGAAGCGGTGTGATGATGGAATCAGACAGTGGTGGGATGTGGCTCAGGGAACGCATTTTCTCTTCATCTCTGGTTTAGAGAGCCCAGGGTTGACAAGAATCTCCCCAGGGCTGGTGTGGGGTATCTGGGTCCATGGCATATCCAGTTCTGGTGACCTGTATTCCCCCCTGAGGTTCTCCTGATGCCTGACAGAGCCGTTGGGTGGGCTGGAGGACAAGGCTGCTCTGGGGTGTACACTGGCCCTGCTTGTATGGGCTGTGCCTCAGTTCTGTCATCTGCCAGCTTCATTAGCATCCCTCTGTTCTCATGCACAGAGGATCAAACACTGGAATGTCTCCAGTCTATTCCCCTCAGCCAGTGCCCTGCCCTGACAGCTTCATTTGGGGGATTTCCTTCTCTCTCTGCCATGGACCTGAGTGCATATTGCTCCTTGTAATGTCCATATTTCCCAGTTTTTCCTGCTGCCTCCACCTCCTGAATGCCTTAGAGCCTTGTATACCTTGAGGTCTGTCCAGCAGCTCTGCAGCTGCCTGAATAATCCTTCCCTATTTGAGCCTGGCTGCTGTGTGTTGCTGTGTACTTGGCTGGTGCTGCTCCTGTGTCACAGGCTCCTTAACAGAGTGAGCTCTGTGGTTCCTTGGCCTCTGCCACTTCCTGTGCTGCTGGGGAGGGTTCAGCCTCCTGGCTCAGCACAGCTGGTGCCTCGTGCCCTGCTCGGGGTGCCAGTGTCTTCCTGGTGCTTCAGAGACAGCCAGAGCGTGCCCCTCACTGCGCTCCCCTTCCTGGCTCTGTCCTGCCTCAGCTCCCTGGCAGGTCACTGTTGCCAGAGCCCCACAGAAGGGCTGTCTTGAACTGGAGTCCCTCTTACTGTGCCCCTCTGCAGGGACTGGTTGCTTGGTCTAAGCATGGATTTAATCACAGTGAGACCCAAGGAGGAAGGAGAACTGCTCCGTGCATCGATGATGTTGCCCCTTTCATAGTCTTGGGGTGGATTTGCATGTGATGCCTTTCCCTGGTCCCAGTGTGGAGTCCTGTCACTCCGTAGCGATGCCCAAAGCTTGCTGCACCCTATGGGAGTTAATCTAATGCTCAATGCTTGCTTTAAGGTTTCTTTTCAGTCTCTGTCTCTAGGATCTTGCTCACCCAGTGCTCATCAGTACCTGGTTTATTCACCTGCTGCTGGTGTGGCCAAGCACTGGAGGCTTGGAGATGAAAAGGAACAGGAATGAGGGTGGTTGACCTGGGTGTTTGCATCCACCCCCAAACGATGCCAGTGTTTAAAGCCGATAGTGCAGAGCAAATAAATGACCTCAGAGCAAAATGCAGCTGAGCTGGCAACTGCTGTGGTCCCTGCTGGAGCTCCTGGGCAGCAGCCTGCTGCCGGCTGGGGTCTGCTGGGAGCTCTTTGGCCATGCTCGCCTCCTCAAGCACACTCCTGGGCCCTCTCCCCGGGCTGTGGGCTCACTGCAGGACTCCTCTGCCCACAGTTCAGTTATTTTTGCCCCTCTTTGGCTATTTCATGCACTGAGGCTGCGCCAGGCCCTGAGGTGACGCTGTAGCTGGGCATGTGCCTGGTCCTGTGCTGCTGTGGTCACCGTGGCCTCCTCTGCTTGTCCCCAGGTCTTTGGCACCAATGTGATGGTGACAGTTGCCAAATCGTTTGAGGCCCCGATAAAATGTGAGTAGATGTTCCCTGTGTGCTGGAGGAGGGGCTGTGCTGCTGGAGGTGGCTCGGGGGGTGGGATGTGTGCAGGAAGGTTTCCTCCTGGTGTCCCCTTAGGCTGCTGCGTGGTGCCAGCATCTCTGGAGAGGGATGCTTTCATCGCCCTGAGCTGGCTGGGTTAGTTGCACCCACAAAGGGGGCAGTTTCAGCTGCTAAAAAAGATGCAAAAAACCCTACAGACCCCTCTAAACCAGCAGGAGGGTGAATTTGTGCTGTTGTGGAGCACGCAGTAGTTTGGGTCCTGCGAGCTGGGGTTGGAACCTGCTCCTGGGCTGGCTGAAAACCTCTTGATTTCTCCTCCTGGTGCCTGGAGTTGTCCCAGGAAAGAGGAACAAGGGGAGCTGCAGAGGAGGAGAGGGCTGAGG